AGCCCTCAGGGCTATCCGGACATGGAGATCTGCAACTCTAACAGCAGGGTTCCCTAACATGGCCTAAGTTGGTATTTGTAACTACCTTCCTCTATGACCCATTCTGTATTTCCTCCACCATCAGCAAGAACCTCTGCAGGTCTTGGCTCTTTCCCTGGAGGAGTGGCCCATACTTTCATCCCTGAAGGGTCTGGGCCATTTGTTGTCCTGTCTGGATTGGGTTGTTGCAGTTTCCCATTGACCTTAATCACAGGACATGGTAACACCAAAAGTCACCTTAAGGAATCTCCTGCCTTCCAGATATAATCTTTATTACCGCCAGTGTGGAGAACAAGTCCAATTTCCCCCTGGTAGTCTGAATCAATCACCCCTCTTAATATTGCTATTCCTTTTTCAGCCTGCTGACTTAAGGGCATCAGAAGCCCAAAGTGTCCAGGGGGAAGTTTTAGCTTCCAGTTCAACAGATGTTTGTTGTGTCTCCTAGCAAAGCACCCCACTTCTGGTACCACAATCTGTATTAGTCAGGGTTCTCTAAAGAAACAGAACGGGTAGAATGAATATATATATATAGAGATTTATCAGCTTAGCTCACAGGATAGAGTCCGAGTAGTCCAACAATGGCTGCACCAGCTAGACTTCAGTCTACAGCAGCAAGATGAACTCGCCAGCCAGAGAGTAGGCAAGCAGCAAGAAGCCTGGCATTCTCCTCTGCCTTGGTCTTTTATACCAGCTGCCATCAGAAGGTAATGCCCACATTTAGGGTGTGTCTTCCGGCTTTAGATGATCCAATCAAGAAGATCTCTTTCATTTCAGTTAATCCCAGATCCAGTCAAGTTGACACCCAGGATTAGCCATCACACCTTGCCTCTTGCAGGTCTTGCTCTGTTTTCTTGTCTCCTACTCCTCTATCATTCCTTTTATTCTCCAAAAATGTAACACCCCTCAGTTGCCCAATGTGGAGGCACACCCGCCTTGATCTTGAACTTTGAACATCAAGATTGAAGTAGTGAGAGCTGTGGTCTCTTGAGGCTGGTTTTTATTTGCCTTATCTACAAAACTGTCTTGGTAATTGGCTAGGGTTTGCACTTCCAAGTGAATCATTCCTGTGGACACCAGGAGAGATTCCAGCAGTCCAGATTCCCAGCACCCACCTGTGGTCTGTCCAACATCAGTCTGTAAGCCCCCTCCCACTCAGAGATTGGTGATAGAGGCTGAGGGATTGATCTTAGATGGTGTCTGCCACCAGCAGGACCAACAGTCTAGAGGGTGAGCCCAGGATATTCTGAGCCTCAAACTGCCTCTGCATGCCCTACTATGATCCATATATCCATGAGTTCTGTCTCCCCTGAAGCCCCTGCTGGGATGGTGTCATCTGCGTTTTGCGAAGTTGTCTCTTCCTGATGATGTCTGCCCAGAGCTTGCTGTGCTGCCCTCAGAGCTTCCATACTGGAGGGAGGTCTGCCAGGATCTCCAGTGTTCCCACCTGGTTGGTGTACCTGTCACTGCCCTATTTCTCTAAACACTGATGGTCAAAGGGCTCCGGCCACCCCCTGGAGCGACTACTCTACCCTGTGCCATTTTTCTCCTGCCACAGATATTCCATCCCACGACCCCTAGGAAGGCACAGATATAGCCTGTTCTCTGGTACTTAAGGTAGAATAAAGTGGGCCTGGGGCGGTGCCTTTTTCTCTCCTATCTGCTCTGGAGGATGCTAGGGAATAATAAAGGTGGGGTGGAGGTGTAAGTTTTCAATAAGAACGAAACTTTCACCCACATCTGGTTGCCCTTCAAGAGGGCAGGAGTGGGTGGGCACATTGTAAAGCGCTCTGCTACTAAGGCATTGCTTGGGCCTAGGGGAGCAGACCGCCAATGGTGAAGCCAGGAGGAAGGTCCGCATTCCGTGAGCAGCTTCTAGGCCCCACACTCGGACCAGGGAAGGAGGTGGTGGCGGTGGGTGTGCAGCGCCATGCGCAGAAGGCCGGTTCGGGCATTCCCGGGGCATGGCGCGTCCCAGGCAGCTCCCAGCTTTGCAGCCGCCTCGGGACGCCCGATGGGGCCGGAAGTCCGCGCAGCCGCCCCGTCTGGCGGGCTGAAGCACCGCCTCCCGCCGCCTCGGGCGCTGCCCAGGGCTGGGCTGGCGCTGGAGGCGCGCCGCGGGGCCCACCCGAGGAGTGGAGCGGAGCGGGCGCGAGGCTGAGGCGCGGCCGCATGAGCGGCCTTCAGAGCCTTGGAAACAGGTGAGCTGGCGCCTCGTGCACAGCGGGATTCCCCCCCCCCCCCCCGCCGCCGGCCCGCTTTGTTTCGCATGGTCCCCGAGGCCAGGCTGGCCGCGCGGGTATCGCCCGGCTCTCCACCCCGCCGGGTCGCTTAGCCCCGGGATGCGCCTCTCTCGACTTGCCGGGGGAGCAGCCGTGCAACTTTTGCTCCCGTGTAGACGCGGTGGCCAGGGTCTGGATACTCACCACACCGCATTTAGTATTTTCAGTAATCTGTTTTTCAAAAGATCGGAGAACAGTACTAGTTTCGATGGGTGCTTTTTAATGAGTATCTAAGAATTGGGCAGGTCACAGTGTGCTGACGGGTTCTAGACGTCTGACCTCTAAGTCTTACGAAATCAAACTTCTGGCTTTCACGGTTTGAGACATTCTTTCTTTGTCTGATTTGGGGGTCTCAAGGCCCTACAGATTTTCACATGTTGAGAAACACTCTTAGAGGCGTCGTAAAACTACATCATTGTGATCAACTATTTAGCAGTGCTGAGCGGCCATGGGGCGGGCTCAAATGTCTGCACTTGTATTTCTGAATTTAGGGTCTTGAGGTCCTGAAGCTTTACAATTATGGGCAGCTCTTTGGGTATCTCAGATATTTTAGCTCCTGATTCTTGCCTTGGAGAACAGTTAAGATAAACTCTTGTTATAGGCAAGAATTATTTTCCTTTGCTAATAGAAATCAGTCCTTTACCAAGACACCCCTGAAAGTATTGGCAGGCAGTAGCTTCCTATTGAATTCAAAGTGGTGCCCTGAAGGGGGGGGGGGGCGGGCAGCTCTCTGCAGAGAGTTTTCTTGAACCACAACTAAGGAAGGATATGATTGAAGGCCAGTAGGCCAGTGGATATAATTCCACTAGAACAAAGGAAATTAACTTTTGGTAGTCATGCACTGGTACAGGACTTGGAAACTCATGGATTTGGCAAAACACAAGCAGAAACAATCTTATCAGTATTAACCAGTGATCAAATGTCCACCTGGAGACTGTCTATAAGGAGACGGTCATTCAAGCTCAGGAAATAACAGTAAAACAAACAGCCAATGGCTCATTTGGATTCCATCAGAAAAGACATGGTTACCCTAGAGGAGAGTGAATTTGCAAATCTGAGAGCAGAGAAGGAGAAAGTGAAAATTGAATTAGATCATGTTAACAGCAGCTAATGCATGAAACCAGTCAAATCAGAGCAGATAATAAATCTTAGCCTCGAAAGGAGCAGACTAAAAGACATGTGTACATATCAAGAAAAGCAACTTGTGGAAGCAACTACCGAATTTACCAAAAAGGGCACCCAAATCAAGAGTGTTCCTTCAGAGACCAGCCATAAAGTTGACACAGAAATTGCTTCTTTAGAAACACTGATGGAGTCAAGCAAACCATTCTTGTCTTGCAGCCTCAGTGTTCACATGCACTTTGCATTGGGGTTTTATAGGTTCTGGAAGGACTTTTAAAGCTCCTGCTGCTGCTGCTGCTGCTGCTGCTGTCAGTGACTTAGAACAGTACACCAACACAGACTTTTCTAGCATGAGCAGCTGCAGCAGACACTACTACAAATTAAAGCACATCTGGACTAAAGAGAAGTGACTTGAGTACTTTTAAAAAATTTTGTATGGCTTTGTTATGTTGAAAACTGTCATCCAAAACCCAGTTTGAGATAGAAAGCCATTTTGTCCTTATCCTTTTGATACTGTAGAAATTGAAACAGTTTTCTTATATTTGAGTAGCTTTATAAATGAAATAGGAGTCATTGTTATCTGCTGTAAATTTGAAAACAATTTATAGTCCTCATCCGTACTGAATTTAACTTTCCTGATTTTTGTTGCAGTTGAACTTTTATATAAAATAAAAGATTATTATGACAAAAAAAAGATATTTAAAGAAAACAAGTTAGCTTTTAGACCCTGTTTCGCCCTTCTAATGAAAGGTTATAACAATTTCACATTTCAGTGAATGGGTTTTGTACAAGAAAATGAAAGAAATGAGAAAGAAGGAATGTTTTCAGGAGAGTGGGGGTGTGTGTGGGATGGGTGGTGATGACCTGTATTAGCTATTAGGAGCTAAGGTTGCCATCTGCTCTAGTTACTGAGTGGAGATGGAGTTTGCATTTATTTGGTTTTGGGGGGTAGGGCCAAAGAGCAGGGACCTCTTTACATTTACATGGCCACTTCCAGCAGGGAGGGCCTGCTGACCTCCCTGGAAAGTGCCAGAAGCAGTAAAGGAAAAAACCTGGGAACAAAGGATCTGTTAGGACCAGTTGGAAGGGTGGAGAATCACTGACTGCAGGTGCTGCTGAAAGCTGAGAAGGGAACTTGAAGATAGCCTGGGGCCTGCAGAACAGTGCTGTTTCTCATATCCTGGGCTGGTGAGGGGAGGGAGAAAAGGACTGGAGCTCTGTATCTTTCTCTTTAATTCCTTTGCATTATTGTCATTTTTTTTCTGACCGACCCCCGACCCCCACCCCCTGAGGAACCTCAGTGGTTTGTCATTATTGGTGACTGAGGGACCTAGGGAGGTTGCAGCTTCAGTTCCCACTTGTAATAATGGCAGTATTTTATGATCATATATTGTAGTTAGTGTGAAGTAACAGTATGAAACACTTCATTTGTACAGTGAAAGAAAAGTTCCCAAAAAGAACGCTTGCCCCTTGGACTGAACTTCTTGCAAGGCTGACCAACTGATTATCACTCCAAAGGGTGTGGAGAGTTTGGAATGTTACAGGCCCAGAGTCTCGGACCATCTTTAGTCCCCCAAATGGCTACTCCTTACCCACCTCTGTTTCTGATCTAACATCCTGTGGCTAACAGATGAAAAACCTTTTAGAATGTATTATCCTAGTAGACCACCTGGTCTCACCAATCAAAAGGCTAAGAATGTCTTCAGATAGCATCTGAGACCTATAGCATAAAACCCCTCGCTTTGCTGTGAACCGCCTGCTGAATGTATCCTCCAATGTGGAAAAGTGTCTTGATTTATGACTTTTTTTTTTTGTTCTGTTAATATAAAAACATAAGGCAACCGTTACCACGCTATAACATGAAATTTGGGGTAACCTGAATTTATGTTCCCCAGCCATGGTCACTCATATTTGGCTCCAGAATAAACTATCTCTTATCCCCTTTGAGGTGAGAGTTATGGTTTTGTGTTGACGGCACCATATGCAAGTATTACTTGTTTTGTCAGTAAAATGTTTCTCTCCTCCTTGGAAGGAAATTAAATGTTTTTCTTCCCTAGGTTGAGTGCAGCATCTCCTACACCCTCTGGGATGCTAGTGCCCCATAGTAGACAACTGCTCTTTTGCTGTAGCCACAAATCGTTCTTCCATCTGAGCTCCAAAAAAATGTCCGTGGGGGCAGGCAGAGTGGATCAGCCCTTTCTTCTGAAAATGAGTAAAGCACACTAAAAATAGTCAGGTAGTGCCACAGGAATGTCTTGTAGTCAAATCTGTTCTTAAACATAAATGTTTTCCTTGATGGTCTCTTTTTAATTTTCACAGTATCCTTGGGCACAGACACCTGGGTTCTTTCCTAGATCAGCCCTGAAGTTAGATTTAGAAGTGGGTGTCTCAGTGACCTGAGCAGGTGGCAGGGTCTTTTCTATGTCCCTGAGGGTGGAGACTTTGTCAGCTATCTTGGGGGTGGTGCCTGGCCCAGACAGAGCCAAGATGTGATGGATAGCAGCTTTTCTCTCTACTTCATGATGCTCACACACGGCACGGTGTTCTTATTTTACATAGTAAATAGGAAGCTGAAGAATACTATGATGCCATCTGGGCATGCTAGAAATGCAGCTTTAAGGCTTGCTAAAGTTGCAGCTTTATATTTCTTTTTAAAAATATTTATCATTTTTATTTTGTGTGTATGAATGTATTGTCTGCATGTATGTTAGTATACCAGTGTTGTGCAGTGCCTAAGGAGGTCAGAAGAGGGCGTTGGATCCCTTGGATAGTTGTTAGCTACTATGTTGTTGCGGGTGTCCTGGGGCCCTCCGGGTGGGGGTAGAGTCGCCGCGGAATCACGACACAGACTCCTCCAGGAGTCAGGTGAGAAGCAGGCAGTGCGAGCAGCTGCAGACTCGTTTATTGCAGTGATGGGGCTCCCTTATATCCCCTCTCCTGGTGTCCCATTGGTCCATTGATAGGTCGTGTCTGTTCCTCATTGGCTCTCTGTATCGGGCCATTTTTCGCGTCAGCCGTCTCTATGTCTTTTGGCAGAACACAGATTTGCCTCAGCCAGATGTTTTTGGTGCGTTTGCAGTGGGCATGTGCTGGTTGTTCAGGCTGCACTTCCTCCTACACTATGTGGGTGCTGGGAATTGAGCCCGGATCCTCTACAAGAACAGCCAGTACTCTTAACTGCTGAGCCATCTCTCCAGCCCCTTATATTTCTTTTAATATTGTATCTATTTTTACTATTTGACTTTTTTGTTTAAACATGCTCATTGAGGAAAACCAAATAGGGTAATCAGGGAAAGTGTCTCACCTTGCACAATGAATATGCTTCTTTATCCTTGTTTTCGCTGCATTTTTCATATGTAGGAAGATATAGTCATGCATTAGATATTTTAAAGATTTTTTTTCAGTCAAAAAACCATACTCTATTACCCTTCCATAACTTTTCACTCTGCAGTTTGTATATTGATTATCTTATGCTCCATCTTTTGCACAGCCTAGCACCATGATTTTATTATTGCTTGTGATTCGCTGAGTTGATAGGCTCGGCTGGGTGATTTTTTTCTTCCACATAGTATTGGCTGGGTCTCTAGTTTCTTTGGGACTTAATTTTTATGGCTGAGACTTCAAGATGGTTCATTGGCTGTTATCAAAGTATTGCCTTCCTGAATTCTTAGAAGGGACAGAATTTTAATACCCTATTCAAAGAATTGTGATTGTCTGATTTTCCTGGCCTCAGAATCGGTGTCTGATTTTCCTGGCCTCAGGAATTGGCTCCTCGTTTCCTCCTCTCTGTTAGTGGT